AGCTGTGTGAATATCACAAGCTTTCTGTGAAAGGAAGACATATCAGTGTGAATTATGCATACCGTCAAACCCGGCAGTGAAGGCTAAAACTGCACAGGCAGAAATGCAGCATTACTCCCTTCATTCTCATCCATGCCTCTCTCCTCTGTCTGTGGGGCTATTTTTCTGGCTGAGGGTAAAGATAGAGTTCTGCGCTACACGTCTTGGGGCTTTCTAGATTATTCCGCAGTCAGTCAAAAGTCGAAAAAAAAAACTAGTAACCTTAAGTCCATCCACAGTGCCCTCCACTTTCTTTTGCTGCTTTTTATAATACAGAAATTCAATCAAATCCATCCAATTTCATTTTTTCTATTTTTAAGAAATTTAATAAAAACTCTTAGCTCCATTTTAATCTATACTGCATGGCGTCACTCTTATCTGGGATCGTTTCTGTATCTGTGTCTGCAATATCGCTTATCTGTAACTCTGAACACCGACACTCGTTTTGAATTCCCAGCAGAATATGAATAAACATGGAGGGCGAATGCAATTTCTCCCATGAGCAAACATTGTGAGGCAACACTCCAAATAATCTTCATTAAACAACACTGTTTATTCTGTTTCGAGGTTATGATCCTACATCATAACCTTCCCCTAATAATAATAATAATATTTTTTTTATTTTATTCTTTTTGTACTTTTCAGTTGTAAAACCGACAAAGGGCATGTGGTTTTTCTCACAAGCCCAATCACAATACACTATTCACAATGTAATGCAACTTAATAAACCAATACAGGACAGTATATCCTCTCCCACTAACTAGATGGATGGGTGGATTGACAGAGCGATGGATGGCTAGTGGCGTAAAAAGGATGTTTATCCCTCCCTCAACCCCTGCTCTCGGAAGGACAGTTTCTAAGTGCTTGTGGATTTTATGTTTATGGTGTTTTATAGGGCAGATCCAGGAGCCAAGAGCTGTAAAATGCTGTGAGAGGGAGGAGAGAGAGGACAGGGGGTGGAGGCAATGTTATTGTAAATCCAATCTTTATTGAGAACAACAGACAAACAGTCCTCCCCACTCCAGCCCACCTCTCCATCACTCTCCCTATTCTCAAAGTTTGTACGTTTTTGCTCAGTTCAACGGTTGTTCAATTCTGACCTTCATAAGAGTCTAGTAAACACACGGGCAAACTATGGCCCTCGACGTGGTTTAATCCAGGTCAATAATCCTGAAATTTTGTCATTCGATAGCTCTGTTATCGCTCAGTAGCACCTAACGAGCCTCCACAAGCATTTAACAAAGGATCCAAACCAAAATACTCAATCAGATCTTTAAACCTGCACAACTTGCCCAATATTTTACTCAGTTCACCCAAATATGGCAACCATGAGCGTGTTCTCTCAGTCTACTGTGAAGGGTGCCACCAAACATCTAACTGCATGTTGGAGATGATTGATCTCCAGTGCTATATTCTGTTCAAAGGAAAGCTGTTGCTTGGTGCTACTTACATCTCAGTGATACCTTTTAATAAAACACAGACCTGTTTCCCAACTCTGGTTGTGGTATACATCCAACACTGCACATTTTGGATGTCTCCCTAATCAAACACACCTGCATTTAAGACATCCACTCTTTAGTAGAGTCTCGAAGACCTGAAATGGGAATGTCAGATAAGGCATCCAAAATGTACAGTCAATGGGGGATTCAGGACCAGGGTTATGAAACACTACATTACGTGACACTTGTTGGATCCAGGCAACCGCTCAGCACCTAACTTAAAATTATGTTTTTCATGACAGTTTTCTATAATATGCACACGTGAGCATGACACTTTTCTCTTGATAATGATTCCTCTGTGTACTACTGAAACACACAATAACCTGGGAATACTACCTAATACTATACTGTTTCTAAGAGTCTAAAGCTCTTAGTTTACCATTTTGTAAATATGAATCATAAACTCTCCAGGAAAGTAGAGGGAAGTCAAATAAACCTTGTATAATGCCTGGTGAAAATTGTCTACCTTTGCAGAGCAATACTGAAGGTAGTTAAAAAAATGAACTGAGTGGCCCCATTAGCCAGATATACTTCAGAAAATTGTGTGTCATTTATTAAGATGAGTACATAGACTTCTCACAGTTTTTAGAATACAAGAGCATTGCATCTCAAAGGTAATTGCACCCTCCATTTAAAACCCAATATGGCCCCTTTGCCAAAAATCTTGCTCACCCTGGTGTAGCAGCTTCCACAGATGAATATGTAAAGATAAATGGAATCAAAATAATCACTGCACTGTAACATTTGTAAGGTGACTGGTCAAATGCATGATCACAGAATTATATACACTATAATAAAAAGATAAGGGTGGTTTTCTTTGAACAGTACATGTATCATTTTCATCACATTAATGTGCTGCACTCAAAAAATATTTAGACCTAAATTTTACATTTATGTATTTGAATTGCATATAAAATTTCCATCTATTTGGATTACACAGTTTTAACAAACTAATAAACTTAATGTAATGCATATTTGTCATTCATACATAAATGAGACGGATAAGATTTCTGTAATACTACTATTAAACTGACTGTGTTTTGAATACACAACAATATATATACTTCAATAAATCCAATTCAACTAATTGAAGCTAGCCATATTTTAACAATGTTCATACTTTTTAACGGAGTAAAATGTATTTGTTTCTTACAATGAACAGATTTATGCTGATTCTATTTGAATACATTCACTTTGAATATGATTTGTTAAATAAAATCAAATAGATGCAAATAGTTGATAAACTATGCCATGATTTTTGTGAAGAGGGCAGAAATCATTCATTTATGTATGACCGACAAATATGCATCACATTAAATTAGTTTGTGTTAAAACTGTGTAATAAATAGGCCTATGCACAATTACATAATTCTTAAAATTAGGCCCATATATTTTTTGAGTGTACTGGACTCAAAAATGACTCAGGCAAGTCATTTCACTCGGCGGCCATCTTTGAAACGCCTCTCGGGCATGCAAGTGCAGCTCCTATTTCTTTGAATGGGGAAACATCAAATTCTTCAAAACTGTTCACCAAGCTTACGATTAAATTTCACATTTGAAATCACCAATGAAATCTGACAACAACTGCCTTATAAATGTTGTTTATTTGCATTTTTTTTTTAAAAAGCGTATTTTTCAGGCTAGACCAGCTAGTGCACATGCGCAGTCCTAAGTGTGCGTCGCAGAACGCTGACTGTTTCTATAGCAAACGGGATTTCTAACGGCAGCTGCAGTGACGCGATGACTTTACCGATTAGTGATTGGCTCTTTTACTCAAAAGGCGGGGCTTTTCGATAGAGCGGCCATATTGAGCGTTGCATTTTCCCTCATTCAAAACTATACGAGTGACACGTCTTGGATATTCTATAGTCTTTGGTTATACCTGCGAAATCTATAAAGCAACATGCTTGCGCTCACTTGGGTACTTAGGTAAGTGAGATGCACACTTAGCAGTCCTGGGAAGTTCATTCCAACCTCTAAATTAATGACCACTGGACAGTCTGTTAATCCTCACGCTTTTACACCAAGACCTACGGCCAGCCGATCAATGCGTCAACTGGCAGAGATGAATCAATGCCCTCTCTGACAAACCCCTCTCTTTCTCTCCGTGCCCACTCTTAGTCCTTTGACTTTTCAGCTTCTTTTTCTCCTCGCCCACTTCTTCTCTTTCTGCTCATGTTCCGAACAAGTCTGAAAACGATCTCTCTGCATGCCTGTTTCAATGAGCTCCATTAGGCCGACTAGCAGTAAGCAGTAAGCATAAGGTCCTGTGGTAATATGATTGCTAAAACATTAACCAGTCATTGCTTTTCTTTATGGCAGCTTAGAGTTGATGATGGAGAAATAATAAACCTGAGCACTCTACTAACACTGTATGAATATGCTAATGTCAATATGCTAAATACCTGGAATATGCTGACTCTAACAGCAGTATATTAATTATCAAAATGATTCATTTCCTGACCTAAAATGGACCTTAGTCAGGGTAGATGACATATTTATTTTAACACGACTGAAAACAAGACTGAGGGACAGATGTATAGTCCTAAAGTCTTAGTTCGCAGCTAATTTTTACAGTCAATCTTTTGGAATGATGTACTTTAGTATTGAACAACTGACACCAATGTACACAACAGTATAACCCACTGAATATGCTGTAAATATGTCCCTCACAACCTTGTTTTCTTTGGCGAAATTAAATATAGCTATTCTGACTAAGGTTTGCAAGTGCATCTTCACTAAAATGCAACTGAGAGAGTTTTTAGTCTGTCATTTTAGTGCTTGACTTGTCTCTTTAGCTATTTAAAGGATGCAAATGTGAAAAGCTGAGAAGTTCCTGAAAGTCACTTTGTTCTGCAACTGCCAAGAACAAACTGGCAAATGCAGATGAATGTTATGAAACCTTCAGGTGTGTCTACAAAGGGACCGACTGGATACCACACACAGACAGTAAGCTCTATCTCCACCTAGTGACATGACATCTACCGATGAGGATTGCTGATGATTTCTGCTCTTTCTAAATGGCAACTTTTATTAAAATAGTACTGGAAAAAGAGCAATATGGATGAACACACAGACAGTAAGCTCTATCTCCACCTAGTGACATGACATCTACCGATGAGGATTGCTGATGATTTCTCTCTAAACTCAAATGGACATTAAGTGCTGCAAATCAAGAAGTTGAAAGGTTCACTGCCTTATTATATAAAAACAGGGCCAGAGCACTAGAGCTCAACTCAACTGTGCCAAATTCTCCTACGTATTGCATATTTTCAACAAAAATGACTCTTGCGATTATGGTAAAAAATTTATAAAAAAAAGACTCTGCAAAAAAATATCTTAACAATAAACTGCTGAATCTGTGTTTTAAGTTTATGATATATGGCGCTCCTGGGAAACAATAAAATCATTTGGCAGACCAGGTAACGTAGACTATGAATTTTCCTGTACTTCAATTCTCACCTGCGTTGGTGATTGCGTCGATCTCCAGTTTTGTGATGTCACCACTGAAGAGGGATATTTTCCTATTCAGCTCTTCATTGACTTTGTACCGAGGCTTACAAGAGGAGTCACCTAAGAGGAAGCACACAGTAATGTTAACATGTATTTACACCAAACAACCCCTATATAAGTTCTTCATACAACAATATATTCATGTCTTCATCCTTCTAAGAATTTATGGACTCCAGGTTAAATTGTTTTAGGATTTAAACAAAAAGACTCACTTTTCGTATTTTTATACATGATGAGTGTTTTAGTGTGTTTTGTTCACCTGAGGGACTCCAGACAGGAATCTTCTCCAGAGGAATGAAGTCAACCCTGTACATTTCCCTCCTCTTCTCCTTATCCATGGAGCAAAGCTTTTCTACCAAAGATAAATATGATGAATGAATAAAAATAAAAACATGTCATTTTATTTTTATTTAGACATTTCAGGGCTCAGTTTGATGATATTGATCAATTCAAAGATTCTGACTGGTCAGTTAAAACAAAAAACTTCGATGCTGGCTTGAGTCTAGTCTGAAAGTTTTAAATAGTTTAGATAGATAGATAGATAGATAGTCGGGAGAATGTACAGTCATTTGCAAATTAGTCTCGAAGAGACACAAGAGCCAGATCAACCTGGTGGCAGTAATATATTTCTTAATTATTCTAGTTAAATTATATTTATTTCTGGTTCTCTGTCAGTGAAGTGTGTGTTGGTTGGACAGCGGTTCTGACATCTGTACACTCTCTAGGGAGGGACTCACTCTTCGCCTCTTTCCAGTCACTGCTCTCAGAATCCAGGTTCAGGGCGTGCAGCGTGCTCGTGCTCAGAGAGGCCAGCACCGCAGCAGAGACCCCCACGGCGCCTATAACAACCCTGGTGACGCGGCGCGGCTTAACAGCCCCTCCACTCTGCCTGTGAAGGGACTTTGAGGCCGTGGAAACCTTCTCCCACCTGTCTGCTTTACGTAAGACCCCCGGGGAGGGCAGCACTTTGATACTCGCAGACCCTCTGCCCGCGCCGCAGAGAGCATGAAAGGAGCGATGTGCAAGTCTGCTGATGAAATTGAGATGACTCGGACATCTGTTTCCAGCGCTGGAAATGAACCCAACGCTTTTGGAGAGCGAAACACGAGCAGCAAGTTTTGACATCTGAAACGCCATTGTGTGGTCTTGACAGCTGGCAAATTTAAAGTTTAAAGCCCGAATGTCTCCCGTCTGCGCCTTGATTTTATCCTTGTTTCGATTTGGAGTTAGTTGTAACAAGCAGTTTTATAGCTTTTTATAGCTTTAAATAACAATAGTGAAATTGAAACTCAACTGTCTTGACTGATACAATGAAAGCAAATGGGACTATACCAATATGTAGGGGTCCATGAATTCAATCGCAAGCGCTTCTCGTTATTTGGACTGTCCCGGATCAACATCATTCATCCTTTACTGACATCTAGCGGCAAAACGGTGTAAGCGCGATATTTTAGTCAAGCTGTCTTGTTACTAATCATTTTGGTTTGACTTATACAATTGACATAAAGTTTTATCAACGTTCTGATTTTGGATTAAACTTTATACGAATTTAGGTGCTGGTCACTATTTTTAGTTTCTTAACCATTTTTATTGGTAGTAGTATCGTGACACTGAAGACTGAAGTAATGACTGCTGAAAATTCAGCTTTACCATCACAGGAATCAATTACATTTTAAAATATATTATAATAGAAAAAATACTTTTAAACTGTAATAATATTTTAGAATATTTCTGTTTTTACTGTATTTTTCATAAATGCATCCTTGGTGAGAATAAGAGACTTTCAAAAACATTTTGAACAAATTTTTGACTGGCAGAATATAATTTTTTTAATCAATTTATTTATAAAACAAATACAAAACGAGTTCTTGGACAGGTAAAGTTTTTTTTTAAGTGTACAAATATTTACTCTCAGTTAATATAAAACATTTAGATGAAGATAAAATTGCACTGAAATGTGATTTTTTTTTACCCGTTTATATCTTTTTTTTCTTCTTCTTCTTTTGTGCGATGTTGGCTAAATAAACACTCTACAGAAGCCTCTCTTTCATATTATTTCAACTGATAAAATAATTTGAGCATAGCACCATTTTACACTGTGAAAAATAACAATACATAATTCCTATACACTCAGTTGTCTCTGCAGTATTTATAACTATCATGATTCTAAGTGCCTGAGTTTTTGTTGTCTTGTGTAATAGCGCATTTAGTGTGAAAACAACACAGTTCCGTTACACGGAAGCTGACAAAAGAGGAACACCCTTTTTAGTCAGTTTTGACATACCATGAAAAACCACAACTGATTTTAAGCAGCAGAGGGGTCTTGTCCATATGAGTGTGTGTTTGTCTGTGTATCTCAGACCTACCAGCATTTAATTGACCGCAAAAGAGGGAGACACTATCGTCAGCAAATCCAGAGTAAAAGAGAAAAGGTAACAAAATTATCATTATTTGACTTATATTTTGAGCTATTAACAGTGAGTCATTTAAAACAGTAACAGTGAGATATTTCTGTAGTCACTTTATTTCAGATCATGAACAAACAGGTGATCATTTAGAATAGAAATTTACAATATAATTCAATATTAAGGTGGTTAAATTACATCTAAAGCATTTTATTTATATAAACTGTATATTATCTAAAGGTGTTTATTAGCTACATATTGCCCTATTTTGCAGTGTTGTGTCTACATAAACTTACGTTATTGTGGCGTTTAAATTACATTTATGTTACAGTTTAAAAAGTCATGAAGTTGAGTTGTTCAGTAATATTTTATGATGTTTCTTGAGTTTGGGTCTATTTCAGGTTTCAGTTTCAGTTAGCTATATTCAGAATTATCACACACACACCCACACGACCAATACATATAAACCAACACACCCCATTACATGCACTGATGGATTAGATGCTTGACCAAAAGAGGAAATGTGGTTCCATGTGATTCATATAAACAGGAAGTATCAGCCTCAGTGAACTTAACTAGGAGCAAGACAGCATGATCACACTGAGCTGGTGATGTGTCACCACCATTACCTTCAGTATGATTATGTTAAACATGTGATATACAGCTGCTCATCATTTCTCATTCCATGCTCAAAACTGATCATTTGATTTCAGTAGTGTACAGAACAGCTTATGTTTGAAAAAACCTCATTGTGTCCATATTTTTGGGATCTCTCGGCAGCAGAATGGCAGCGTGGGACCTTACAGTCACAGTGGAGGATCTTGGTCCTGATGCCCCACCCCTCCAAATCAGTGTGGCCTCTGACCTGCACATTGGTGGAGTTATTCTCAAATTAGTTGAGCAGACCAGTGAGTTATGCTCAAGATGCTATTATACTTGCTAATAAAAAGATGCATTCCATTTTTTAGCTGGAACTAATACTATAACAGCAATATGACACACATAAGATTTACATGTACTACCATTAAAAAGTTTGTGATCAATATGTTTAAAAAAAAAAAAATGAATACTTTAATTGAGTAAGGATGCCTTAAAGACTTTTACATTCTTAGAATAGATGTAGGCTGTTCTTTGGAACTTTATATTCATTAAAGAATTATCAACACAATATGTATCATGGTTTCAACAAAATTTTTTCAGCTTTATATAAATAACCGTTTTCAGCATTGATAATAATAAGAAATGTTTCTTGAGGACCAAATCAGCATATTACAATGATTTCTGAAAGGATCATGTGACTATAAAGACTGCAGTAATGGCTGCTGAAAAAAAATCATTTTAAAATAGAAAACCATTATTTTAAATTGTAATTATTTTTCCAGTTTCGTGCTCTTTCTGTATTTTTTATCTAATAAATGCAGTCTTGGTGGGCATGAGTGACTTCTTTTAAAAACATTAAAAAACCTTACCTACCCCAAACTTTTGAATGATAGCATATTGTCAACAGCACAACAAATTTTCCCATATTTGTAAAAACTGTGTTTAGAATTAAGTATGGTTCCTAAATCTTTATTCGCCCTGTGAAATGTTCCTGTGTTTTATTTCTAGATCTGAAGAAGGACTGGTCCGATCATGCTCTGTGGTGGGAGCAGAAGCAGCAGTGGTTGCTGAGGACCGGCTGGACACTGGATAAATGCGGGGTCCACGCAGACGCTCGCCTCGTCTTCACCCCACAGCACAAGCCTCTGCGACTGGGCTTGCCGAACGGGGCTACGCTGAAAATGCGAGCCTGTTTCTCCAGTTCTGCATTTCGCACGGTCATGGGCATCTGCAGGGTTCTCAGTAAGTGAAGGATCAAGATTGAATCCAACACCCCCTCTATAAGCAATCTGTTACTAAGTTTCAGGTTTCCATTTCCAAAACGAATCTTTGTTGCTTTCAGATTTACGTCACCCAGAGGAGCTCTCCTTGCTCCGTCCTGTTGACGAGAAAAAGAAAAAGAAAGACAAAGATTCCTCAGAAGAGCTGTATGATCTCACAGATGTTCCTCTAACCGCAGGTGCACAAAATAACACATTAAAGAAGCTTTTAATACACTGCTGTTCAGCAAGGAGTCACTGGAGTCAGCAAGATTGTATGCTCATCAAGGCTGCATCGACTTGATCAAAACGATTTTTTAAAATTTAAAATACAGTAAAAACAGTACTACTATGAAATATTATTACAATTTAAAATAACTGTTTAATACATTTTAAAATGTAGTTTATTCCTTTGATTTCAAAGCTGAATTTTCAGCAGCAATTACTCCTTCAGTCTTCAGTGTCACAGGATCCTTCAGAAATCATTCTAATATGCTGATTTGCTGCTCAGGAAACATTTATTATTACCAATGATGAAAAACAAAGATTCCTCAGAAGAGCTGTATGATCTCACAGATGTTCCTCTAACCGCAGGTGCACAAAATAACACATTAAAGAAGCTTTTAATACACTGCTGTTCAGCAAGGAGTCACTGGAGTCAGCAAGATTGTATGCTCATCAAGGCTGCATCGACTTGATCAAAACGATTTTTTAAAATTTAAAATACAGTAAAAACAGTACTACTATGAAATATTATTACAATTTAAAATAACTGTTTAATACATTTTAAAATGTAGTTTATTCCTTTGATTTCAAAGCTGAATTTTCAGCAGCAATTACTCCTTCAGTCTTCAGTGTCACAGGATCCTTCAGAAATCATTCTAATATGCTGATTTGCTGCTCAGGAAACATTTATTATTACCAATGATGAAAACAGTTGTGCTGCTTAATATTTTTGTGGAAACTGTGATACATTTTTGAGTATTCTTTTGATGAATAGGAAGTTTAAAAGAACATAATTTATTTGAAATATAAATATTTTGTAACATTATACATGTCTTTACTGTCACTTATGATCAGTTTAATGTGTCCTCGCTGAATAAAAGTATTAAAAAAAATACTTACTGACCCCAAACTGGAACGGCATAGGCCTAAATTTAATAATAATAACACGCAGTTATCATTTTGGTCACAGTATTTTAGTTTAAAGTGGATTTTATCTGGACGTAGGCTCTGTTCAAGCTCTGTACAATGGCATGCCGGCTCATTTTGCTGACTCTCCGAAGACCGAGGCTGTCTATAAAATGCTGTCTGTCAGCTTGCCCTCATCTGCCCCTGAAGCCATCGCTAAACTCTACCGGCCAGCCAGTGTGGTGGACAAAACACATATTCACACCAGGTGCAGCAGAGAAACAAACACAGACTTTAAAAAATATTAATCCACATTTCATCCTTAATATAAATGCTCTTCTGTTCCCTGGAGGTGGCTGGATTCATCTCGTTCACTAATGCAGCAGGGAATACAAGAGAATGACAAACTATGGCTTCGTTTCAAATACTACACTTTCCATGATATGGATCCCAAGGTAGGGGTGTTTGGTTAGGACATGTGTGGAAAAGGACAAAGTTTTCTAAGAGTCAAGAAATTAAAATCGATTCTCTCTTTGTTGTAGTATGATGCAGTGCGTTTGACGCAGTTGTATGAACAAGCTCGCTGGGCTATACTTTTGGAGGACATAGACTGCACAGAAGAGGAAATGATGCTGTTTGGAGCCCTGCAGGTAGAAAACCTAACAGAGAAAACCTAACAAATAATACTGCCGTGGAAACTATAAATCAGATTAGTAAAATTAGCATTAAAGGAATAAACACAAAGGCATTTACCTCTCTTTCTCACTCTCTTATTCAGTACCACATAGGAAAACTGTCCTTGTCTCAGGACATGGTCTCTTCCTGTCAAGGGATGGATGACTTGGAGTCTGCCCTGAAATCCCTGGAGGTCAAGATGGTGGGAGATAGCAACAGCACAGACATGCTGGTGAGAGACACATTCCTCTGTATTAACAGAACAGTCAAAAAGGGGACATGGAGATTGAATTGCAGAGATGCAGAGACAGATTCAGAGGTACTAAATCTACTATCAGAAGTACTATCAGTAAAAATCAGATTTACTTTCACAGGAAAGCATGACTGCTCCAGAGCTGAATGACTACTTGAAAATTTTTCGGTAAGGTTATTTCCTTTGGCCAAGTGCACTGAAAAAAAATAAAAATGTTGGGGTAGAAACAGTTTTCACTCATAAATCGCAAGTAAATTTCAGAAACAATTACAAAGAAACAAGTTTGAAACAGTTTGGATAAAACATGAAAATTTTAAATCGAAAAATTAAAATAGTATTTTCTTGTAAAATATACTCCAAAAATCTTTGTGGCATAGAGGAGAAACAATAATGTACAGTATGTGGAAAATAATGTGTTTTTTTAACCTTAAACCGCATAAACACATTTCATTACACCAAATACACAAAATAATGTTCTTAAAAGCAACATCATATGACCCCTTTAACAACCTCGAAAAAAAATAAAGTGCATAATCATTTGATATTTGATCATTTTCCACCCTGCAGGCCTAAGAGACTAACTCTTAAGGGTTACAAGCAATACTGGTGCAAATTTCAGGACACATCGATCTCCTATTATAAAAGCAAAGAGGACCGCTATGGAGAGCCCATTCAACAACTGAACCTGAAAGGTCATTTTTATTTTATTTTCACCCAATATTGAAATTTTGCTACATGAGAGAGACAGATGAAAGTGATTGAGTGAACTGAACATGCTGCAGTAGAAAAAGAGAACAAAAACTAAGTTGGATAAGTAAAACTTCAATAATAAAATCTAATTGGTACAGTAGATAAATCCCCTGGCCTTGTTAAGTCTTATGAAAAGAAAGATTTTGCATCGTTCCTTTAATAAATTAAGGTCAATGCATTATGTATGCTCCACCGTCAATGAGTCATTTCTGCATGCAGCTTCCCACACTGTGCTTGTACAACATGTGAATATGTTTTCACACCTCAGTCAAGGCTGAAGCCAAAGTAGACACACTCATCAGTGTAATGAGGCCATGTTATCTGAAACACATCTGCTTCTCTTTAGGCTGTGAGGTTGCCCCTGATGTCAATGTAGCAGGCCAGAAGTTCTGTATCAAACTCCTCATTCCTGCACCAGAAGGCATGAATGAAATCTACTTGCGATGTGAAAATGTATGTAATTGTCGATAACATTCATTTGTAAATGAAAAATCATCAAGGCTGCATTTATTTGATCAAAAAAAAAAACTGCAAAAACTGTAATACTGTAAAATGTTATTACAATTTCAAATAATTGTTTTATATTTTGGTCCCACTTTATATTAAGTGGCCTTAACTACTATGCACTTACATTTAAATTAATAATTTGGTACAATGCACTTATTGTGTACATACATGGTTTTACATTGTACTTATATTTTTAAAATACCTGCATGTAATTATATCTGTAATTAATTTCTGTAATTACATTTCTGATTACACTGTTGACCCATCCCTTACAAACCTGTCCCTAACCTTAACCATATCCCACCTCAATAGCAGCAAAAGTGTTTTGCAATACAATATGAACGATAATATTGATACATTGTACTTATGTTTTGATGTTAGTACATAGTAGTTAAGGCCACCCCATCCCTTACAAACCTGTCCCTAACCTTAACCATATCCCACCTCAATAGCAGCAAAAGTGTTTTGCAATACAATATGAACGCAATAAGTACATTGTACTTATGTTTTGATGTTAGTACATAGTAGTTAAGGCCACTTAATATAAAGTTGGACCTATATTTGAATATATTTTGAAATATAATTTATTCCTGTTATAGAAAATCTGAATTTTAAGCAAATATTTTTCCAGTCTTCAGTGTCACATGATCTTTCAGAGATCATTCTAAAATGTTGATTTGCAGCTTTTCAGTACTGAAAATATTGTGATGCTTAATATTTTATGTGGAAACCATGATACATTTTTAGTATTCCTTGAAAAACAGACAGTCCAAAAGACCAGAATTATTTGATATAGACATTTTTGTTACAATGTAAAAGTATTTAATGTCACTGTTGATCAATGTAAATGCATCCTGGTTGAATAAAAATATTAATTCCTTTAAAAAAAAATAAAAAATCTGACCCAAAACTTTTTAAGATTTAAAAATTACACTTAAAATTAAGATTAACGATTAAAAACAAATTGTATTTATTTTTTAAAAATATAATTTTTTGTTCCCACCTGCCCACTGAATCAGGAGAAGCAGTATTCTCAGTGGATGGCCGCCTGTAAGCTGGCATCCAAAGGCCTGACGTTATTGGACATCTCGTATCAGAGTGAAGTAAAGAACATCCAGACGTTCCTTTCAATGCAGCGTTCCAACTCTGCAGCTCCCGCTGCACAAACTGACGACAGCATCAACACACACAGCCTCGTCTCACCGAGATACCAGAAGAAATACAAGCCCAAACAGGTAGAGTGACCATGAAATTGCGAGTTATTTCATGTTGTACTGCAATGTTTGTTTCACTTCATCTATTCAGTGTTTGTGTAGCCTTCACCTCTTCTTGTTCTTTTCAGTTAACCCCTCGTATCCTGGAGGCCTATCAGAATGTCGCCCAGCTCTCTTTGACATCTGCCATCTTGAAGTTTCTGCAGATCTGGCAAGCTCTGCCTGATTTTGGAATTTCCTACTTCATGGTCAGGTGAATAGACTAAACTTAGAGGCACAAAAACATGGTCAGCTCATTATGTACCTTTTAAACAAGCTTGCATGCACTTGTATGAGTGTTTAAGAAACAGCAGGTATGCTATAGTATGTGATAACACAAAACATTTATTTTATAATAGTCGGTGATTCAGCTTCACAGTACAATCTTTTCTTAGGTTTAAGGGCAGTCGTAAGGACGAAGTTCTGGGCATCGCTAACAACCGTCTGATCCGTATAGACCTGGGAATCGGAGATGTGGTGAAGACTTGGCGTTATAATAATATGAGACAGTGGAATGTTAATTGGGACATACGACAGGTAGGTTTCAATAAAAGTATGATAAAAATGATAATAATTGTGTGATACATTTTATTTAAATGAATGAGCCTTCATTCTTGCCCTACGCAATTTGTCCCTGACTTACTACTATTCAAAAGTTTGGGTCAGTAAAAACACACTCAACAAATATTAATCAGCACAACTGTTTTCAACATTGATAATTAGAAGAAATGTTTCTTGAGCACCAAATCATCATATTAGGATGATTTCTGAAGGATCATGTGACAATGAAGACTGGAGTAATGGCTGCTGAAAATTCAGCTTTGACATCGCAGGAATAAATTACATTTAAAAATATATTTAAAAAAAAATAAAGACAGTAATTATAAATTGTAATCATATTTCATAAAATTGTTGTTTTTACTGTATTTTTGATCAAATAAATGCAGCCTTGGTGAGAAACATCTTACCTACCGCCTTTAAACTTTTGAATGGTAATGTATGTGCTATGACCTATGACACATCTTATGTAATACACTAGTTTCACTTAGAAATTCAGTCATTCATATCATCAACACCTGTCTCTATTCTAGGTGGCGATTGAATTCGACGGAAACATTAACATAGCATTCAGCTGTGTGAACGCAGACTGTAAGGTTGTGCACGAGTACATCGGAGGATACATCTTCATGTCCACACGCTCCCGACAGCAAAGCGACACACTGAACGAGGAGCTCTTCCACAAACTCACCGGCGGCCACGAGGCTCTCTAAGCACCAAGCAACAACTTACAGAGAAAAAGAAAACATTACTGAAGCTACAACTGGAGGAAACTGATAAGAATTCAGTGTTAGCACTGCACAGCAACTGGCCATTTTGTTTTGCTTGTTTTCAATGAGTCATCATTTAGTGATCAATATGCAAGCATTGAATTAAGAATGTTAACTGTCCAGCAGTGAAACATGGATGTTTTCCATAACATGTTACACACACATGTAATGAGTCTGTATAAACCATCACACTTAATATATAACTGCCTAACAGGAAAATATGACAAAATTAATGATTTAAAATGTCCGAAAACTATCTAACTGTATTGAATTTTGTCATTATTAGCAGGGTGTCTGTATTTCTGCCATCACATGTGAGTAACAGCTCAGGAAACCACTATCATTGTCTGACCAGACAATGGTCTATTAGTCGATAGCTCACAATTTCCTATCTCTGTCCAACAGAGTTTCAGTTTCTGCACCAGGGTTATTTTTAGAAGGGTGGGAGAGTTTAGTATTGAGCTAACAAAGTGCCATCTCTGCATTGTCCTGATGAGTTCACAGCCTTGCTGATTCTCCATTATTCACAAGAAACATAATGTGTTAAAATACTGTGCATAATATTAAGCATTATGGTACACCATTATATTCATTTAAACCATGAAAAAAATGTACTATTTGAGTGTGTGTATGTACAAAGATGTTTTTGAGCTTCTAGTTGTAATTTTAACTCACTCTCAACACAAAAAAATGGCCTCAAATCTACCAAACAATGTGGCAATATTCTACATTATTTTGTAGGTTGGGATTTTTTTTCTGGTGCGTTTCAGTGTGACTTGTTGTTTATCAGTACCCATACCCATTGTGATTTCCACATTTGTATTTAGCTTTGGATAAAAGTATGTGCTAAATCACTAATCTGCTAAATCCTTTCAAGCTAAAGAAAAAAATCTAAAGGAAAGTGTAATTGGGTAATATAGGCTCTTCTCATCCATGGAGGAGAAACGCAAATACTTTTTTATACCCTTATACAGCATTTGTAATTTTGAAGAATAAATAGTACCATGTGAAAATGTTAAACTTCCTCAAACAGGTTTCTGAAACAACACCCACTGCTCAGTTCATTAGAGGTGTGAGGGTCCGGCTGTAAGTTCCCAGTCTTGACAACAGTAATACTTCAGTCCAGCCAATATAAGTTCTTTGTTCCAGCTGAGGGCGTCACTCAGACAGGAAAATACATGCAGCACGTCGCAGCGAAGAAGACGTCACCAGGAAGTCGTCCCCCGGAAGTGCGCTTGTAACACGCTTGTAAACAACTCGCGAGCAGCCGACGGATCAAGGTGTAAAATATTTATCATCGTTTTTTGAATTTCACCAAACGGCAGGTAAATTAATAGCTTATTGACTTAAAACCTGACGTATCAGCGATACTGGATATCACTTTTCAAGTTAAGTCAACGTCAAATACAAACGTTGCTGTAAATAATACATAAGGTATTGCGTTAATTATGCATCTCTTTACTCTGTCAGCAGATTTTGATCTTTTTTTTCAGATTCCGAATGATTTATTCCGAATTGATGTCTTGAATCTCCGATCGCGATCTCTTTGTATGTAGGTGTAGCTGAAGATCATGTCGAAGGAGGATAACGTTAAAGTGTCGGAGGGGATCGTAGATCTCGAAGAGCCGAAGAAAATGACCCGAGAAGACTGGAGGAAGAAAAAAGAGCTGGAAGAACAGAGAAAATTAGGAAATGCTCCAGCTGAAGTTGACGAGGAGGGAAAGTATGTTGAGCAGATGAACATAACACATGAGCAGGGTGCACTGAACTGTTCATTCATACATATAATGACTGTAATAAAAAAAAAAAATTTTAAGTATTAAAGTGATTTTGTTTTTATCATATATGCCGTAACGATTCCCCTGGCCGTAATATTTTGTTACCAGGGATATCAACCCTCATATTCCCCAGTACATCTCATCTGTCCCTTGGTACATTGACCCATCAAAGAGACCCACCCTCAAGCACCAGAGACCCCAGACAGAGACAGAGAAACAATTTACACCCATCGGAGATTGGTACAAAAGAGGTGTCCAAGAAGTAAGCACTCCCTCTACCCAAATAGTCATAAGTTATAAAAAGTGGTTTAGTGTCTAAACCCTTTCTCATTGCCTCCCTGTCAACTAGAAATCAGTCAGCACAAAATACAGAAAAGGAGCATGTGAAAACTGTGGTGCCATGACACATAAGAAGAAAGACTGTATGGAGGTAAATAGTTCATAAAATGTGTTGTGATGGTGTTATTGTATGTTGGTAATATTCTGTCTTCAGAATGGAATACTATTTCTATTTCATACTGTGCAGTATATACTACTGTTCAAAAGTTTGGGCTCAGTAAGATATATTTAAAATAAATTAATACTTTTATTCAGCACGGATGCATTATATTGATCAAAAATGACGGTAAATTCATTAATAATGTTACAAATGATTTCTGTTTCAAATAAATGCAGTTCTTTTGCACTTTTTATTCATCAAAGAATCTACAAAAAATATATCCGCATTGATAATAATAAGAAATGTTTCTTGAGTAGCAAATCATCATATTAGAACGATTTCTGAAGGATCATGTGACACTGAAGTAGGGCTGTGCAAAAAATCGAATGCGATTCATTGCCGATTTTGAATGCGATTTTGTGTAGCTTGTCAGTGAACTACGGCTCTGTGTAGTAAATGCCGGCTTTACTGACGAGATGCGCATGAAAATCGCATTCGATTTTTTGCACAGCCCTACACTGAAGACTGGAGTAATGGCTGCTGAAAATTCAGCTTTGCCATCACAGGAATAAATTACAATTTAAAAATACTTTAAAATGGAAAACTTTAAACGTTATTTAAATTGTAAAAAAAAAAAATCACAATATTACTGTGTATGTAAAGAAATGCACCCATGATTAGCATAAGAGACTTCTTTTAGAAACATTAAAAAATCTTACCGACCCCAAACTTTTGATCGTTGTTGATATTAGAAATAAAAACTGCATTTTCATTTTTGATTACAATTTGTGCAAAAAATGTCTTTCATAGAGACCCAGAAAAGTTGGAGCAAAGTTTTCTGGCACAGGCTTGGCACCAGATGAGCACCAACAGATTCAGCTCTCAATGGATTATGATGGAAAGAGAGATCGCTGGAATGGCTATGATCCTGATGAGCACACGCGCATTGTAGAGGAATATGCAAAAGTTGATCTGGTAAGTCATGCTGTTGGATATTTATGTTTATTTTATTATACAGCTAGGCTATTCTCAGCAAAGAGAACTTTTGTCATGTGATCATTGTCATATATTTTGCTGGAAGGATCTTTTACTGTATAGGTAAAGCATGTCTAATTTAAATATTTTTTTGTAACAGGCTAAGCGTACTCTCAAAGCTCAGAAACTCCAGGAGGAGTTAGCTTCTGGTAAATTAATGGATCAAGCTGTAAGTATTCAAAAAATTCAATATTTTTTCTGGGTATTTTTTCTACATTCCTCTTATAGCTATGGTATTTCTGAAAATGTTATTATATGTTTGTCACAACCTTTTATTTACTACCTTTGTGTAACTAAACAGTATGTCTTATATCTAGAATTCAAGGAAGCATCTTGTCGATGATGCAGCACAGGTAAATGTCATATTCAGATGAATCTTTATGCACATTGTAGACTATAAAATAAAACTCAAATCATAAAGCCACTTCACTCAGTCAATTAAACTTTTTTTCCTCACCCTGTCTAGGACCACAGCAGTGAAGATGAGGATGATGACAAATATGTTGATGACTTTGACATGCCTGGACAAAACTTTGATTCCAAGAGACGAATCACCGTTAGAAACCTGAGAATCCGGGAGGACATCGCTAAGGTAAAAATAACTTGGAACTTTAGCAAACCAATGAATGTTAATTAAAGGCATGACACTACTTGTTTTTCTAGAAATATGTGCAGTTTTATTTATTTATTGGCAGCTGCGTTAAAAAAGACTAATATGGTCTTATCATCAGGATTTGTAGTAGCATAAGAATACACATTAATATTTTTACCACAGTCTGCTGTATCATGTTTTTCCCAACTTATTTTACAGTATCTCAGAAATCTGGATCCAAATTCAGCCTACTATGATCCCAAGACTCGAGCTATGAGGGAGAACCCATACTCCAACACTGGAATGAATCCAGACGAGTAGGTGCCTTTCTCATTTTCTGTGCATGCAATCAAGGGAAACGTTGGGGAAGTTACAGGCTTCTTACAGAAAGCTTGCAGATTGTGTACTAAGTAGGGGTTACAACACACATTGTTCACCACTAAGCAAGGCATAAGTTAATCTAATTAAGTATTGGATTGTAAATTGCTTTAGATGAACAAAGCCTGCTAAATGCCAAGAAAGCTGGTGTTGTTCAGCTTACTAAATTTCAAGGAAGCTGAAAAAATACATCACACAGAAATCACACAGTCTTTGAGTGTCTATTTCTGTAGTTGTCTCTGCCTGTCCTCAAAAGCATGTGTTTGGTTTGGCAGGGTGGGCTACGCTGGAGACAACTTTGTGCGCTACTCTGGAGACACCATTTCCATGGCCCAGACACAGCGTGAGTACTCTTGTCAACTCATACATAAATTCCTCTCTACCTGATGTTAAATGTGGGCTCCAGACTCTTAGTTCCTGTTGGTCTAACATTGTTTTGTGCGTCTCCTCTGCAGTCTTTGCTTGGGAAGCCTATGAGAAGGGATCTGAAGTTCACCTCCAGGCAGATCCCACCAAGCTGGAGCTTCTCCATCAGTCCTACAGAGTCAAAAAGGATGAATTCAAAGAGAAACAGAAAGAGAGTATTTTGGAAAAGGTACAGTTTAGAATCTCCTTTTTTATTTTTGCACACAGCAAAATTTCTTTCATCCCCTACTGATGGCTTCATGTCGCACCTCTCTGCAGTATGGTGGGCAGGAACACTTGGACGCCCCTCCACGAGAGCTTCTGCTGGCTCAGACAGAGGAGTATGTGGAGTATTCTCGTCACGGGGCTGTGTTGAAAGGACAGGAGAAGGCTGTGGCCTGTTCCAAATACGAGGAGGATGTGCTCATTAATAACCACACGGTAAGTTTGCTGGCACTAATGGAAGTGTTACATAACTGGACAAGTTGCATAATAATGATAGATTTTGTTCTATGAATGTTAAAGATTTCCTTCGGTTTTGCAGTGTATCTGGGGATCGTATTGGAAAGATGGCCATTGGGGTTACAAATGCTGCCACTCGATGGTGAAGCAAAGTTACTGTACAGGAGAAGCTGGCAAGAAAGTAGTGGTGCGTATCAAATGTATCCATTGCACTGGCAAATAATGTTATACATGACTTAGTAATACAGGCAGCCAAAATCTGATTTTTTAAATTATGTATCAAAGCATTTATTTTATATTATTAATTTTATTATTAGTTTTATTTTTATTATTATTAAATGCATAATATTTTTTATTATCATTTATCTATTTTTAAAAAACTAATTTTCTGCTTCTTTTTTCAGAGTAATTCTTGTATTCCATTTGAAGATGATGGAGAGGAGGCCCAAACGAGTAAAGAACCAAAGACACTTTTACAGGTACATTTACAGCCGCCTTTCTTTTGTGATATAATTCCAATGGAAGAACATGGCAGGAAGATGACTGTATTAAACGATGTTTTTTATTCACAGATGCACCAGGAAAAAATGAAAGACAAGAAAAAGAAGAAAAAGAGCAAGAAACATAGAGATTCTGACAGCAGTGATGAGGACGACGAAGCAAAAAAGACGGAAAAGCTGAAGAAGGTGGGTGGGCTGTTCCTGCCACACAAACTCGTATTTTCATATTCAGATGCATCTGTGCTCTACAAAGCCTATTGTAAAAGAAAATATGTCTTTTTGTGCAGGCATTGAGTGCGGAGGAGCAGAGGCTGAAGCAGGTGGCTGAAATGATGCAGCTCGACGAGAGGAAGCGGTCGTACAACAGCCTAAAGGAAGTGCGTGAACCCACAGAGGAGGAGATGGAAGCCTTCCGCATGAAACGTTGCCGACCCGATGACCCCATGGCCCCTTTCCTGGGGCAGTGAATGAAAAAATAAATGTCTTTTGTCACCAACCACAGAGATGTCATAGTCTCAGTTATTGTAAAATCTGTTATGATTGAATCGGGGTTACGAAAAGACCACTGTTGAGCTAATAATGGGAAACACATATTATTAACACATGACAGTCTGTTAGAACCATCAGTTTTGACATCTTTTCACTTTGTATAAATCTGTGTAGATTATAGTAGAAAATAAATCGGCTGTATTTTCTCAATGTTTTCATAATGTGTTTTTTTTGACAGTACATTGTTTTATTAGTCTTTTAATAATAAAATGCCCAAAAAATTACAAATGGGTTATGTTTGGTGAATCATCTGTTTTGATTTAACAGATATGTTCCATTGTCGGATATGTTCAAGGTATTAAAATGGACTCATAATGAAAATAATCTGACCAGTGGTTGATATTAAACATATTTAAACCTGAAAATGGCTATGTTTGGTTTTGTTACGGTTTTTTCTACGCAACATGTAATCCAAATCATTGCAAATACACAGAAGTGTTGAGAGTGTTTGATGTAAACAAGCACATTTCACATGGCTGGTGTTCTGTCAAATAATCAGTGGTAGAGTATTGCGTTAGCAGCACAAAAGGTTGTGGGTTCAATTCCCAGAAAACACACATACTGGTAAAAAATGTATAGCCTGAATGCACTGTAAGTCGCTTTGGATAAAAGTGTCTGCTAAATGCATAAATTATAGTAATATAAAGCTGTTTTTTTAGTTGATTTGTGGGCTGCAGAACTACAGTATAACAGTCTGACTGAATTTTCAAATGAATCCCCTCCCCCAGTTTGCTCAATTACATCATGGATGAACTATCTGGCAGAGCACGTCAGTGCAAAAACTGGGTGGATGCTTGCAAAGTTGTGTGGAGGACATGTAAGATACAAATCGATTCACAATCTTGTTTATAGTCTCCATTTTTGACTTTGCCAAAAGAGCTGCTGGACTCTCTACTTTGCATTGCAACGCCAATCTCATTTCTCTGGTGAGGATTTTTTACTAATGCATGCTTTAAATGTGTTGTATAATTGTGTTCTGTGGTCTGTTACTTACATTTACTACCTAAATAAAACTGTTCACCAATAGGCCTAAATCAAGTTATAACCTGCATTATTCACAACCTGCAAGTACTGTATATAATGTGATTTATGGTGCTTATTTCTGTGAATGACTCTGTATATGTATATACAGGAAATCCATGGAAATTCCCTACAACAAAAATCTGGCCCCATCTGCTCTGTTTGCAGGCACAGCTGCATCATGCATCAGTTACTGGCGGTTTGCCTGCTGTCTCTTTTCTCTTTGCTGACTGCAGACTCGTCCAAGAAGGGACACAACTTCACTATCCATTCATCACAGCTTAGCTGCAGTTTGCCAGGCCCTCAGGGTCCTCCAGGGAGTCCAGGTGCAGCAGGTCCCAGTGGTAACGTAGGCAAGATGGGGATGCCAGGTGTTGATGGCCAGGATGGGAAGGATGGTGACAGGGGAGAGAGGGGAGAGAAAGGTAAAGCATATGAACATGTCTGTTGTGGTTATAACGCCATTAATGAAAAATAACATTCAAAGTATTAAAATATATGTTATTTCTAATGAATATTAAAGTATGTTGTCATTTTAAAAATATTTTTTATATGAAATCACATTTGGACAAACAATGAAAATAAAATGGGTGAGTTGTTTCATAATACATGATAAAAGTTGTCTGCAAAATAAATAAATAAATAAATAAATAAAAATTTAAAGACATTTGTGAATTTTATTCTCAAATGTCAGGTGAACAGGGTCGTCCTGGGAATCCTGGAAAATATGGACCACAAGGACGCACAGGACTTGTTGGGAAGGCAGGACCACGGGGCCTTAAGGGGGTGCGAGGGGCACCTGGTGTGTCTGGAGTTCCTGGGATAAAAGGAGAGATGGGAGATGTGGGGGAAACAGGCGCTGCCGGAGGCTGTGACTGTGGAGTAGAGGCACGATCTGCTTTCTCAGTAGCGGTAACCAAGAGCTATCCCAAGGAACGCACGCCTATTCGTTTTAACCGGATTTTAGTGAACGAGGGTAACCATTACAATGTCACCAGTGGCAAGTTTAACTGTGCGATTCCTGGTGTGTATTACTTCACATATGACATTACGCTGGCTAACAAACATCTGGCAATCGGGCTTGTCCACAATGGCCAGTACAAGATCAAAACATTTGACGCCAACACAGGAAACTATGACGTGGCCTCAGGATCAACAATACTTAGACTGCAAAAAGGAGACCAGGTCTGGCTTCAGATCTTTTATTCAGAACAAAATGGGCTGTTTTTTGATCCATTCTGGACTGACAGTCTTTTCACAGGATTTCTCATTTTCGCTGATCAGGCTGCTTGAAATGAGGTGAAGACCAATTCTGGATCATCCTAATTGAACGTTTTATTTGTTTTCTATACATTTTACAAAAAGGCCCCAATAACCTGTTTACAAATATTTTATATGAAAATGTAAATATTACATTTAAAATATTTTAAAAAATGCTATAACACTGCCGTATATAAATAATACTAAAATAACACTGTATATTATATATTATATAATATACATATATATTATGTGCAAATTTTAGGTGTAGACTGAGTATGAGTGTTAGATAAATAAGTGTATGAGTGTATAAATAGTGTGTGTTCCACAGTTATTGTTAAGTGTTCTGTGTTTACAGATCCACCACATCAGTATTAGAGCAAAACGAGGCAAGGAACATGTGGAAGGATGAACAGACTTACAAGAAATAAATAAAGGGGAGTTTTTAACACCCTAATTTATTCCTTATAAAAAATGGAAAACTACTTTCTCACTACAAGTATTTTGCAACTTTGACCTCAGTCTTAGGCCCCTAATAATCAGAAAAACCTTTTACCTCAAGGGACTTCTAGCCACGTTGTACACTATGTTGACCTTTGATCTTCTACAAGACTGTTCTGTTAATGATTTCCCCCTTATTTCTATTGTTTATTTACTATTCACATAATCTAATCTTGTATTCTATTACAGTTCAAAGGTTTAGTAGACCTTGTCTTGTTGAAACATGCTGTAACTGGAGATCTGTGAAACCCTCCTTTCTAAGTATAATTTTGTCCAAAAATAGCAGCCAATCATGCTGCTGTAATCATCTAATCAATATAAGTTAATGGGTAAAACCACTATTTACACAATAGTGTAGAACAGTTATTGAGCCTGTGATCACTCATGTGATCAGTAAAGGTTATGTAATGATACTATGCTTATGCGTTATTTGTATCATACAGCAATCTGTCCCTCATATATCCCACTGCAATATCAATACATGTACAGCACACACACTTTTTTTACAGCACACACACGCCTTTCTTTAAGCTGTAGTTCTGCCTGTTCAGTCATTGATGTCTCTAATGGGCTACGAGTATTTCTTATACCAGGAGTATTACTAGAAATTAAAATCATGTCACCAAATATGGAATATGCGTTTGAGCTCGGAAAATCGTACAATGTACGTCAATGATGACGAAATATTCTAATTTCCATACGTCTTAGAACGTTCGACTCTACTTGACTCTAATTGGCGGGAGAAGCGCCAAGCCCCTCCCATTGTCCGGACTTCGCTTAAAAAAAAAAGCACGGGGTGTCCTTTGACAGTAGGACTAAACCATTCACTGTTGTGTAGGTGAATATCGCGTTAAAACATGTTGCTATTTTGTAATTTTCCATATACGTTTTGGATTTGTTTGAAGTCTTGTAATCCCAGATACAGTCGTAATATTTCATATAGAGAATAACTTAATATATTATGTAATTTTATTCGTGCATAAAAACCTAATCTACTGAACTCCCCTATCAAGATATAGTTCACGTTTCGCCCTGGAAAATATGATTTGTTCATATAGTGAAAAGACAAGGAAACATGCCTAAGTAGTGTCCAAAATGGCTTTTACAAGTGTTATATAGGTTTGTAAAATTATTTCGTCCTTAGCCATACATAAAGCCATAGTTTGGGTTATCAGTTTAAACTGCGGTTCGAAGGACTGTCAAGTTCAACCGAAGAAGAACAATGTATCCGGCCCGGCGATGTTCATCGCTGCTTCACCGAGAACTGGCCGCAGTCTGTCTCTCATTACTGGGGACACATCCAAAGAAATCCGGTCCGCTGAAGAAAAGCAGCCTTCCGAGTTCACGACTCTTCCACACCAGCGTAGTTCATCCTCCTCCAACCAGGTCCAACTCATCACCCGTTCTGCTAGGTTCTTTACAAGGTAATTTAAGATTTCCTCACATATTCTTTTGCCTTACTAAGATCATGGTTGTGTCTTAAAACCAAGTTGAGCTCTTTACCTAGACAGTAGGTGACTCGGAAGCGCCTCAACGTTTTGAGACAGTCTTCGAGTCAAATTCAGTTTTTAGTGTTTCACGTGATACAGTGTGAGAGGATTGAGGATAATCTTAGGAGACACGTCACATAAATCACATAAAGAATGTGATTTGTGATCATATCACTCAGGGTGTCCCTCGTGCTATAACAGATGACTCGTGTACAGTAAGAGGGAGAGTGATGACTTGTGTCATTCCCCCTTTGAGGTGTGGAAACATATTGCAGTTTCCCATAGCAAATCCCCAATAACTATGTTGTTTGATTTTGTTTATGATCTTTATTCAGATGCATTTGTTCAATTTGTTTTTATTTATTTTTTAATTCTCAAACATATCTGTCACTAAAAAGCAGTAGCCTATTATTTTAGTAATATTTATAGTATTATAGTATTTATTTTGAATTAGCTTTATATTTTTATTTTTCATTTTAATTTTAGTTTACGTTATGTGCATTTGTCATTCTTTCGTTTTTTTTTTAAACCTTTCTATTCAACTTTAATTTATTTTTATTTCAGCTTTGGTAATTTTTTTAGAAAAACATCATTTCTAATTTACGTGTAAGCCTTTCATCTAATATTTATATTTTATTTCAGTTATTACCAAAAATGATTGATACGTTTTAGTTTTAGTTA